ATATATATATTGGATGATGAAACATGACTTGTATGTATTTTTATTAGATCATTACATCTCAATATCTTTAAAGTTTTGGTTCAGTTCAATTTCTGAGAAAGATAATACATTTTACTAATTTAATTGAGCTATGTTTTAATATAAACATGACACGTTTTCATAAATTTTCAGATTTTCTAAATAAAATCTAAACATTAAAAGATCAATTTATACCATTTCAAATTATAGTTAAAGTGCTTGTATGCATATATGGATTTCTATAGGAATTATTTTCATTAAAGTTTGTCATTTTTATGTGAAGTGATTCTTATGTTCTATCATGTTCAGTGCATTTTACTCACCATGCTGCTTTGCAGGTGCACTATCAAGACTTGCTGCAGTTCATACAGAAAGCTGTACAAGAAGAAAAACAGCAAAGTGTTGAGGTCTGTCAATGAGCCTGGCAAAACTACCCAGAATATTATCATTTTATACTGTCCGCAGCTTTCTGAAATAAAAAAGCACATTTTGATGGATGTTTTTGAACATGATCCTCAGGCAGAGACCTGGGATGCGTCAGTGGCCAGTACTGACCTGGAATCAGTGAGCGACAGGAGCGATGCGAATGCAGAACAAAGAGAAGCATGGCTTCAGAGGTTCCACAAGATGGAGATGGCCTTACAAATGTGTGACACCCAAAACACAGGTATAAAACCCATCACACGAATACAGTTTGTCTGAAGCACATTTTAAAGTGATTTAAAACACTGTGACTCATAGAAAATGATAGACACTTGTATGATGAAATGATGTTTTCAACACTGGTTTTCAGGTTATGTGGACAGAGACCAAGCCAAACGCCTGCTACAGAACTACAACCTCATCCTTGATCTGAATCTGAGTCCTCTGAAGGTCAGCGAGGTCACGCGTAACACTCAGCGAGAGGGCAAAGTTCACCTCGCATCGGCTCTGCGGAAACTGAAGGAACTACACACCGCTTAAACTTTTCCTTAAACCGAAGCAAATGCTACAGCATTGCAGTCATCTTTAATAAATGCTCTGCCTGGGAAATATTGACAATGACAAAAAAATGCTTTTAAATTAAATTTTTTCCATATTGAAAACTGAGTGAATCTCATATAAACAGGTCATGTTTTGCCCGAAAAATCTAAG